TCTAAAACAATAAATCATTTTACTTTATGTTTCTACGAAAACTATACAGGAGCCACTGATACGCATGTGAAGACACCTGCAACAATCACGACCATAATACGTCGTGATTTATTTTAAACCAACATTCATATCTGCATGCAGGTGTATTTATTTTATGCGGATGGAGGAGGTACCTGCTGTACAAAGGGTGACTTTCTATTATGTATTGTGTGTTTGCAGAAAGATTAATATGACATTGTGGTTGATAAAAATATATATCTTATCTACAAACACCTGTTGGTATGAATTCAATACACGTGTATATTTTTTTATATTGGTTTTTTTTTATTCAGTGTACAACTTTCGACTGATGTATTTTTATCACTACATGTTGTTGTTGTTTGTTATTCATTACCTGATTTGTAGCTTAGAAAAAACAGAATTATAATTTTTTTTTTTTTTTTTAAGTAACTCTTTGGTAAAAGATGAAAATCTGTCATGTGACTAAAAAATTATGGTAAATGCACTAATTTTACAGAACTGGATGTTATACTATTAAAAAAAAAAAAAAAAAAAAAACACAATTGCCAGCAGAACGATTTGATTGTCGTTTTTAAAAGTCTTTAACCAGCTGAATCAGTAAGAAATCTTCAGATTTTACGAGCTAGCAACTATTAAATTACTTAGGTTTGTATTGCAATTGATTGTATGATTTTATATTTCATTAGGTTTTTTACGAAATAAATTTTTTTTTTTTTTTTGACCACATACTCACCATCAAAGATTCAGAATGACAATGCACTTACTCATACCATAGATACCTAGTTACCTACTTTAATTTACCCATACGGTCATAGATTATTTAACAATTTGTGATAAAAAAAACTCATCCTCTACCGTACCCCAAAACCTCGCCTCGATGGATTTTTCTGATTCGCGAAAAGCGCAACCGGTGTTTGTGTCGCATAAGCACACGTGATTCGTCATCGCCCCAAACGTGAGTTACGAAGCTTAAAGACGCATTGTCCGCCAACTCGGGCCAACAACCGAGAAACAGAGAGGAGATGAGGATGTGACAAGGGATGAAAAATGCCCGCTGTCATACGCGCAGGTGCAGCATCAGCCCGCCCATTGTACTCCCTGATGCGTGCGTGCAGTGCATCTCTGTATGTATATATATATATACACGTCCAAAAAGGCAACCCCCCTCCCCTATAGTGTCTGCTTCCAAACGTGTGATCTCCCTTTTTTTTTTATTCCATACATTTACATCACATTGACGAAGGAAGAGAAAAGCACGTCACGCCAAATACCAAGCGTATAATCGCATATTCCGCGTGTACGTGACGTGTATATATATATATATATATGGTATATAAAACACGCGGGAGGAGAGACAAAACGACCCCTTGCGCTCCTACGTACATGGGATGCTTGCCGGCCGGCATATCATTAGCGCGACTCGGGGACACAAGTAGCTATATATGTATATAGTATTTCTCCACGTGCATCCATACATATTATACGTACGTGCAGTCCTAATCGGTCTCGTAATCGGTTGATTTATGATCTCTTCGTCTTGTAAAATCGCGCGCGTATATCTATTGTCCCGAGAGCTTTTTGTCGGATGCACGCGAGCGCGTGTTGTATTACTCGAACGTTACATATATNAAAAAAAAAAAAAAAAAAAAAAAAAAAAAAAAAAAAAAAAAAAAAAAAAACGTAACAACGAGGATACGATTGTTGCATACGATAGTAAAACTTCTTCAGCCAGTATCTCCGGCGAAGATCCCCATGAAAAGTTGTTCGAGAAAAGCACACCTCCTTAGCCCCTACACGGCAGCAACGATAATTAGAAAACAATGCATATCGATGAAAAAAGCATTATACTCGCGCACGGTGATGGACAAAGGATCGAGGGGTCCGGTAAAAATATGCAGCCAAAGGGAAGGAAAACAAAAAAAAAAAAACGAGCGAATTAATTCAGCCGGACGCGTCAGCCGTGATATAAGGTACCCTCCTCCCGTTGCGCGCGACCCTTTCACTTTTATATAATGCATATACACATGTATGGAGCATCAGCGGCAGGAACGCGTCACGATGACAATAGAGATCTCGAGCAAAATGCAATAACACACGGACTCGAATTCCATCCTCTTTCGTGCGACCCCGCGTCCAGTGCCTGTATACGGTATTTAAGGGTAACAGGGGGTGGGTTGCCTGTGTTTTCCGTACCTTCATGTGTACGCGTCTTTGGGCACACATGCAGCAGAGAAAACCAGGAGGGTGGCACTACCACCACAACGAGGAAAGGGGTCCTTGGTACACACACATAATACATATATATATATATATATACATGTATGTGTGTGTTCGGGTCGTTAAATCGAGTGGTCGTATATGTGTAACAGTGGCTAAAATTTCTCTCATCCCCTCGTATCCTCGACAAATCTTTATTTTCCATTTGCGGTCTCACGTGCGATTAAATTTGCGGATCGTGTCGCGTACTTTTGTTATTGGGTTTATTGTTATAAACCGTGTTATATGCATTGATATGATTCTACGACATTTATTTTCTAAATTTTCAGAAAATGCTTGTATATATAATTGCAAAATCAAAGATGATTGTTTAAAATAGGATTAACTGCCGATGAGTTATGCAGAGAAAGGTTTTATCTATAATACTTTAGCTTCGACACAATTTAATGGTAAAAAAAAAAGAAAAAAAAAAGTCAAGCTTAAAATCCACCAAGGAAAAGTACGTTTTATAAAGTTTTTATAAAAATTTGGCTCAGTGGCAATTGTATACTTTTCCCTGTAGTGTTTTCACCGACAAAAGCCCCTTTTGGACACTGGGTTGCTGCGAGGGTAGTTTTTTCTCCCCATGCACGCGGTGAAACAGGCAAGGTACACGATATAAAAAAAAAAAAAAAAAAAAAAAAAAAAAAAAAAAAAAAAAAAAAAAAAAAAAAANTTCCCACGGACCATTACATGAAATAGAATTTCTTTTTTTTAACTGCCATCGTCATCGCCCGACAAATTAATTTATCCACAATATAATGAGGTGCGCACTTTTTTGTGCATCAAAATTGACAATAATATCGTTATTGGGGAAGAAAAAGTTACCAATACAGTCCGAGCTGGATACGAAGCAAAAACGAATGAAATTTGAATGTGCTTGGGTGATTAATTCCAGAGAAATAACGAAATTGAAATTTTACCCTTTTGTGACCATAAACTGCGACAACATCCTCTAAAAGTAAATGAATAAAAAGTCGCAGGGCGTAAATTTTTCTCGCGCAACGATAAAAGAGAAACGGTAACTTTTCAAATCCATCGAGGTCCCAGCGACGCATAATCATTAATGACGCGGTAAGGTGGTCGGTGGCCAAACCCAACAATTACCATTAAAACGTATAACAACGGGCGTACTCGGCAAAATCATCAAAACAAAGCAAGCTAAAAGTCAGTATCCCATTGCATATAACACACACACATACACACACACACACACATATATATATATATATATACACGTACGCGCGATTGCGCTCCAGGAATGCGTTATGACTACGTGTACATATGCCTATCGTTGTCCTCTTTCCTCTGTTCACCAAGTGCACTCGACTGATTGTATATTGTTTGTTTTTCCTAAACGTATATTATATATTACATCGCCAGCAATTAATAAATGTATGAATCAAATAGCTGATGAACAATCTCTGACAATATACAACATTGCATTAAACATGTATGTAGATTTTTTTGATAAGTGGTTCATGTCATACGTATATACATGAACAGTTATAATTATGTTTGAATAAGTACACCCCCCTCCCCCCTCCTGGAGTTCAATTTGTCCAAGAAAACTTGGTCTTGAGCTTAATTCGTTGTTTAAAGTAAAAGGTACATAGACGTACGCGCTCAACACAAAAAATTACAATTGAATCGCAGTTTAAATCAGTTTTCAAATAAAATATACCAATAATATAGGTATATGATTATAGACTTTGAATCATAAAAGGATACGTATTTCAAGAAATAATAAATGTGTCACAATTAATTGTTACATATAGAGTGAAAGTATTGTAGGTGATTTATACATATATTTGTGTACATACACATGAAGATAAAAAAAGTTAATTTTAGGGGTCAATAAAATAGGTCCAACACTCCTACGGAAACAATTATAATAAATGACGCGATTAGATAATACTGCATTTGTACAATAGAAAGAAAAAAAAAAGTAAGAAATTATTACTCGACTTCGACCTTCGTAAGAGTGATCGAAAAAATTAAAAAATGCAAAGTATTACCAATCAGTGTTTTATCATATAATTATTTAGAAACACGCGGTGAAAAATAAATTATCAAAGTGTATGTAAATTAACTATATATGCATTGATTAAAGCAATGATATCCAGATGTCTCAAGTAGGTATTGTTGTTTATATATTTCATTGAATCAGATAAATTTTTTATCAAGCTCGGCTCTGAGTCTCTAAAAAACGTATCTCTACTTATCCAAGGTGTACGGTATAGGCCCTTGGAAGGCAACCTGATAGGCTGTAATCTAGCCTTACCCTACATGCAGATAAATATGCATGCGTTTGTATATACCCATGTAGATAGTAGATAAACAATTTATGTATATTTACTTGTGCTTAAATATTAAGAGAATCGTTAGTATTGATGAAACTCGGTTTTTGTCTTCTGTTCACCTTTAAACAGCACCAATTTCTCTGACTTTGAGGTTAAGTTTGCGAAAGCAAAGTGAATGGTGTGAATCAAAATTTGTCAAATTGAAATTATGGCATGAAACTATGAAAATAAGCCGATTAACTCCGTTATACTAATGTAAATTTAACGGGTAACGCATGCTGCACTCTTTCTTTCATGTAATATGAAAGTATTCTACGATTTTGTGCATGATACGTACCTTTTCAACTCTTTCCTTTCAGCATGAGATTATCTCACTACAAGGGTTACATCTATTAATGTTATGTTGTTACTATATTTTTAGCTTAGGTAAATATTTATTTATATTAATCGAAATATTTAGCGCGATTTAGTATCACATACATTAAGGTACTATTCAAGTGCGACATTGTGAAAAAAAACTTCATGACAACAGTATTTATGATGAAGTTATATTGAGTGTGCATATTATCAACGATCGAAATTTTCAAGAAGACTTTTCAAGAATCAAGAAGAGTTGACGTCATTTTCAACTGCATAGGCATCCTTTCTTGGCACCGTTGTGATCATCTTCATTAGAAACCTCAGCAGAGGCATCTTCATCAGAGTCATCGTCATCTTCATTGGCATTTTCATCGTCATCTTTGTCGTAACCTTCAATGGCATCTTCATCGTCATCTTTGTCGTAACCTTCAATGGCATCTTCATCGTCATCTTTTTCAAAACCTTCAATGTCTTCTTCATCAGAGTCTTCATCAGAATTGTTGTCTGTAGCTTTATTTTAAAAAATGGTTATTAAAAAAAGTTGAAAAATCATTCCTGAAATAAACAATTAAAAAATTTTCAATACTTATGTTTGTATCCATCTTGGCAAGTTTTTTCAAGTCTCTCATGTTCAAGTTGTCAAAAATCTTCCATACGATTTCATCCGGAAGGCTTTTCAAATTAATTGCATTCAGATCATTTTTAAGAGCTTTATTAAGATGATTTTTAGCGATATCTAGTATCTTTCTCTTCTCGCATGCCAAATCAAGACGAGTTTTTATCACATACTCCAAGTACTCGTAGTTGTAGAAAGTAGTACTTAGGTAAAATATTTTAGGGCAGTGGAGCTTAAAATTTTTGTGTGTGTATATATACATGTATGTGTGTGTTCGGGTCGTTAAATCGAGTGGTCGTATATGTGTAACAGTGGCTAAAATTTCTCTCATCCCCTCGTATCCTCGACAAATCTTTATTTTCCATTTGCGGTCTNTATAATAAAAAAAAAAATAACAAGGTGCAATTGACAAAAAATAATTAATCTCTGGTTTTTATGTAAAATTACTCTTTCTTTTGGTAGTTTTACAGAGCTACTCAGCAACACCTTTTATTGGTTGAATTTTAAATTAGAACCTAATAATCGGTGTCTGACTTTGATATTTATAAAGAATAAAAATAAGGAAACCAACACTTTAAACAATTATTAATTTTATTAATTGCTCACAGTCATATGGTTTTTATACTCCCAGAATAAGCATGCTATTTTTGAATAAAGCACTTCGTTTTCGGTTTCCCAAATAAAAAACATTCGAAAATACCTATTAAAAAGACGTTATTTAATCAATTGGAATAAATTAAAAAAAGAAATTTTTTGTACTGTTTGAATAACTAACTCATGATTTTGAAAACCAGCCTCTAATAGCATTTTCGTGGTTTTATAAAGATTTGTAGCAGCTGAAAGAGCTACATTGACGTCTTCACATTGAAAATTTTTGCTTGCCAAATGGACATAATCAAGGTCCAGTAGACGATCGACTAATTGCTCGTAGCCCAAAGTAATGGCAACAAGGAGTTCGTTCAACCTAATGTCGTTCTTATCAAAGGGAATTATCATTTCTTTATCAGTCCGTGGAGGTAAATCAACCGACTTTATTTCTTGAATGCCTGTGATTTTAGTCAACATCACGAGCATCAGGTCTTTATCGTTTGTCTCGTTTATTTTTTTTACAGCTAAATAAAAAGGCGTTTCATCAATAACATTGCGCGCACGCAAATCCGCTCCTGTTAAAAAATATTTACATTTTAATTGTCAGCTAAGATCACCCTAATACTTTACAGCTTAACAAAATTTTAATTTTTATATAAAAAGAGTTTTTAATTTACCGTATTCAATAAGTAGTCTACCAATGGCGTTAAACTGCTCATCTTTTCGGTCTTCATCGTATTTTAATCCAATTAGCAAATGTAAGGGTGTATTGCCAAAAATGTTTTTCATGTTAACATCGGCTCCATTCTGAAGCAGAGTTTTGACCTTTGATTCGTTCTTATCATTGACAGCGAGATGCAATTCCGAGTTACCCATTTCAATATCGAAATGAATTCCCTGCTGAAGTAGTAACTTTTTGAGGATGCAATTTTCCTCATTTAAATGATGGTTCGTGGACTCAATATAGTATACAAGAGCTTTGGACGAATACTGTCTATGAGAATCTATTTCAGTTGCATTTTTGAGTAAGTACTCAAGAATTTGCTGCTGATCTGGTTTACATGCTTTGAGTAAACATTTGTAAATATTTTTACTCTTTGCACTGTAAAGAACAAAATAACATTGTCACGTGAAAAAATTAAAATTAAATTATCACGCAGAGTATTCGGTAAGAAACGTGATAAGACACTTAGTATATCTTACCCACACGCTACGAGCTTTTTTATAAGATTCAGAGAGTAATTAGCAGCAACTGCCAACTCTAAAGGCGTACGGTCATAAAGATCAACAGTATTAGGATCAGCCTTGTGATCCAGCAACATTGTAATGATCGATTCGGAAACTTTCCGTTTTAAAGCAGTAAGCAAAGCTGTTGTACCAAAGGTGTTTATGATGTTAGGATCAGCTTTGTTTTTTAGAAGAAGAGCCACTCCCTCGATCTTATAATTTGATATATTAAAAATTGTAGTGTATTTTCTGATTTGTTTGAAAATAGTGTTATTACCTGGTTTTTTCCAGCTGCTTCGATGAGTACTGGCGTGAATGAAGAATTCTGATTACTCCTTGCACGCATATTAATGTCTGCTCCATAATCAATAAGCAGTTGCATTACTGGCAGTCTGTCGTCAGCTTGTTGAGGATTGACGTAAGGGGTGCAACGATAAACCAATTGTAAGGGTGTTTGAAAATGAACGTCATATTCATTAACGCAAGATGGATCTCTAAATTGCGGATGAGAAAAATAAAAAGTTAAGATAAAATTAAGTAAGTACTCTTCTAAAATATAAATTACCTTTGCAAGATTTCACGCACTAGTTGAACGCTGCCAGACCACACTGCATCATAAATACATCCACCCTCCTCATCGGACATTATGAGGTGTTTGTTTTTCCAACTTTTTGGTAAAAAAGCGTGAACAAAATGTCTTAATGTTCCACGTTAACACACCACTGGATTTCCTGTTTAAACATTGCAATCCAATCAAATGCGCGCACACTTAGATGAAAAATAGAACATCAATGAGAAGTAGCAGGTAGGTATATGTACACCTACACCTCACTTGTCCATACAATTTTTCGACTTCTACTCAAACCAAACACTACTACTTACTTTATAAATAAATGTGCAACATGCGAATCATGCTTGAAATCGTGCTCACCAAATCCAAGTTGTACTGTTTGTTATCTTATATTGATGGTTCTCAACGTGCTTTAAATAATTACTGTAACTGACTGACTATTCGCTCCGAGCCGATGCAGAGGTTGCGCCCCTTCTAGCCAAAATCAGGCAAAATTTCTTGCATGTAAACAAACGGTTTAGAACATATATACATACGTACAGCTGCTTGTGATTGGCACTTGGCTGAATAAGACAGCAGGAGAGGATCGTCGTTCTCTCTCTAGCTTGCCAAGTGCCAATCACAAGCAGCTGTACGTATGTATATATGTTCTAAACCGTTTGTTTACATGCAAGAAATGTTGCCTGATTTTGGCTAGAAAGGGCGCAACCTCTGCATCGGCTCGGAGCGAATAGTCAAAGTCCTCCCTCGGCACCAGCGCTTGCTTGCGACGATGGTACGTCGTCGGCGGGCTGGGCTGAGACCTGAGACGCTTATATATACAAATACAAATGTAATAGTAATGGCAATATAATGGCAACCCGTAAAGGTTTGTTCACGAGTTTCGCGACCAAAGAACAGACCACTCTAATTAGGTTTGTTTCGGTTTGGTTTAGTTCAACCGGTCCTATAAGACCAACAAGAAACAGGTTTGGTGTTCCCCGAAGGGACTTGGGTTTAGGAACGATTTTTTTTACGATCGCTCGATGTCCAACATATATATTATATATACATATATCTCAAACATAAATCGAATCATAAAATTTGATAGCAAAGTCAATTATACTTCATAAGAATGAATGAACGCACGAACGATGAAAAAAAACGTACCCCAAAGATCTGTCTCGAGATCTGTTGCTTCCGTATTTATATATATATATATATGCATAAAAAACGCGTGTAATAGTAAGGGCTTTCAATTATGAGTTGTTTAAAAAAACGCTACACTTATGTATATAAGCTTATATCTTTTTGTGTATCGTATTTAAATAGATACAATTTTCAGTTGATGTGATGTGGAACAAAATCCATATCGGTCCATTTGGACTTTTCTGGCCACCAAGTTCAGCAAGTAGATTTTGGGTTATTGGCACACGTCACCAGACAAATTGTTCCAGTGCCAGAAAGGATCCTTTGTGCTTGCCTTGGTTGGATACACGCACATTATTGGTGTCAACTATATTTTTCCTGTGGGAGACGCAGTAAGTATATAGTTATACAAATTTTCCTAGTTTTACCATTTGATTTTTGATTTAAAAACTGCATGATTGATTTTTAAAGAATTCTGGGAATTCAAAAAAACCACACGAGTGATCGATGCGATACCCATACGGAAAAACCATCTGGCTTTTTATTCAAGGGAGAAGAGGGCATAAAAAATGCACTACTGGTAGCTATACACATGCATACCGCCATACCGGTCTCTGTAATATAACTGACGTACCATTTCCGGAGGGGTTATTGGTTTGTAGTTCCGTTATGTTCCATAAATTTTTGATTAAGGAATAATTTACCCTAAAATTTCGTGTGTTATACACTTGGCCATACATCAGACCCTGATGCCTCGGCTTCTTGTCAATAATCATCAATCGCGAGGGTTTCACTAAAAAAAAAAAAAAAAAAAAAAAAGTAAAAACCCCCTCACCCCGCCACGAGCACATACATTCGACGCGCTCGATTACGCGCTCAACCAGCAATGAAATCAAAGCCGCGCCCGTCTCGGCTAATAGTCGCACCACTCACAGGCACATAAGGTCCGAATAAATCGCTAGTAACGGATAATAACAATAATATTGTGTGTGTGTGTGTGTGTGTGTGTGTGTATACGCACCCCCTTGTATATGTAGGGATCAAGCGTCATCGGGCACCCCTTCGCGCCTGTACGGAGGGGAAAGCGAGAGCGCAGCAGGGAAAAGGGGCTCGGCCCGAAAATGTATCCATCAGAGGTGGGTGAGGAGAACACGCGCGGAGGAGCGTCCAATGCGCGACCCGGGCTGTATGTATACGGAGGGCCGAAAGGTGGACCATACCCGTAAACTTGGGTCGCGCGAGATCGACATCGAATTCACCAAGTGTATGTATATATATATATGGCACTTCAAAGCTTGATTTTCCGCATGCTTGGATTGACGCTAAAACGGCGACGGTCGGCCCGCACGTGGCGTCACGTGACTGTCGAGCGACGCCCCACAAGGGGTATATTGGTACGAGCTGGTGCGTGTCCTGCATATAGTGTATATACGATCTTCGATAGTATCGATGCCACCGGGTGCTGTACTCGGTTAAGCCGGATGAGCTCGCGGGAGTCGAGATAAAGGGCCCGTGGCTCGATGGCACCGGTGCCATTTTTTTATACCTACATCCCTCCATCGTTGCGCCGGTGTTTATTTTTTTATTGGGATGATACGTTGTCATCCTTTGTACACAGAGTCGAGTGCCGCTGGTCTGTATTTTTTCTTTTTTTCTTTTTTGTTTTACCATTTACGAGACGAGGACGCACACCCGAGGTGATCTTTTCTCACACGGATGGGCCCTTGTGTGTATATATGTATATACGAGGGGTGCGATCGTTGATCGTATCATCTTACGTAGATCGTTGATAAGTGCAGATTGTCATCGTTGACACGGTCTTAGTGGGAAGAGACGATCTCCAAGGGTTGGTGCGGAGTACTCGTGACGCGACAAAAGTGCCATTCATACGTGCATTCATTGACTTGGATTGATTTAGTCGTCACACTTGTTTTATTTCATCAATATCATCAAGAATCAAACTGAAAAAATTTGAAAAAAATCTTGGGATTTCAACGCATTGATAAATTGTATATCTTTTTTCATTTCAGATTTCGAATGGGCAACTTTGAAAAATAAAATTTGTAACTGCATGGGCGATCGAAATTTCGTTGTTTTTCGACATCAATTCACTGAATTTAATTTTTAATTAAAAACAGTCGCTTGAAAAGTGGAGGCATGTACATATTATTCGACTGAGTTTTGCTCCAGAATCTGTGATAGTAGAAATTTCTTACTTACCACTGTTTAACGATTATTCATGCACCTGTGCGCACGAGGACCATGAAACTATACACTGGAAAAAAAAAATAACTGACGGGTGCAAGATAATTTAACGGAATGAATAACCTCAAAACAAAAACATAGCCCAAAGTTTTGTCTTTCAGAGTCACGTGTACGACCTTTTTTTCCTCCTATGCTAAAGGATATATAATGTTTTTCAATAATGAAACATTATCTCCTATAGGTAAAAATCATATGATACCTGCTATAAATGAGCAAAGTATTTTCGTAAACTCTGAATAAAATTTTCTACCAAAGCTGAAGACAAGGGTGGTAAACACACAGAGGGTAACGAAATACTTTTCTACGGACAACAAATGAGAATTTCTTCTTGGGAGGAAATAATATGTCACAGAAAGTAAGGGAAAAAAGTAGTCTCGATCGTAGTATACAGAAAAACGCGTTTTATTTAATTTTCATGGACCAACGAGTAAAGCCATACAACCCACATCATCATCATCATCATTATTTACCATTTAAAGAAACAATTTCAAAATTCCATCACCCCCTATGAGGCATACATATAGTCCTGCAATGCTAATGAAAACTCTTTATTCAAAACGTACGTCTCCTGCAGGCCCCTCTTTCAGCCCCTGGCAAACAAAAGTAATCCTCATAACGGCACTTGACACGGCGAGCCTTTCTCCGATTGTGCGAAAATCGGAAAAGCGCCTTTCTCGGCATCCCCCCCCGAATCCCTCCAACACCCCCTCAGGCGTTTCCCAGAAAAGATTCTTCCTGCCTCCAGAGAGAATAATACATCAGTATTTTGTACAGTATATACATGTACATACATACGCGTGCACACGGGCCCTGCGAATATTTACAGAAGCATGTCCTCGCCCCCGGGCAATGGTACATATATATATATACAAATATGTGGTCCGTGCATGGAGCGTCGAAAAGATGCACGCAGGCGGAGGGTAATTCTGCCGTTCTCCCACCCTCTCGGCCTCGGCCAACAAACTTGCTCCTATGTATACGTTTCTCTCTCTCTCTCTCGCTCCAGGGGGTAAATCCCAGTGAGAGAGCCCCGTGCAATGGATACCCAGATACTCTGCGTTGGTATATATATATATGAGGTAGACCGGCGATACATAGGTGTATGTACACATGTACGGAGAGTCAGCATATAATGTATACGAGTGAAAAAAAAGAGGTGGGTATAATATATATATACGCCGCACCGGGGCTTATCATATTGACAGAGGTCACGTGCCGTTGGATTTCATCCTGGGAAACCCGGGGAGTTACAAATAACGGGTTTCGCAAAAAAAAAAAAAAAAAAATCACGAGTATTTGATAATGTTTTTACGTAAATATCGATGGTTTTGCTGTGAAACGATGCGAAAATGTTGCAGAAGGACGAATTTATTTGCCTCGTTTTTTTTTCTTTTGTGATATTTTGAAGTAAATGGAATTGATGAATCGTCATTAAAAAATATTACAAAATATGAATAAAATCACAGCAGCTTCTGCAATAAGTATTTGTTGTTGAAACCTGATTAGCGACTCTGTTCGTTCGGTGAAAATGGTAACGAAATTTTGTAAGGTCCAAGTATTGGCATTTTTGCACGCTGATCTGGAAACTATAGGGAACCCCAACCTGTTCGGTTCGATGGTGATGTCGATCGGTAAAATTATTCATGCAACATCAGTTATATGTAAGAAACGAGACGTGAAAATTCACTGCAACCGAGGAAACCACACATCCCCAAATTGTTTTATAAATATGAACGCGTCATTCCGAGACGCGCGTTCCGCAAAGAGGGAAATCCCCGAAAGTCCGCGCGACCCAATCGTGCCCAATGAAAATATAGGCGCACGCGCCCAATTCGACGGGGGGTTGACAAAGTTGTTAAAGAGGCCATAAACACATAGACTCCGCAAAGCGTGGGCGTTTCGGGCGCACTTTGTCCCCATGTGGGAGAGAAAAATTCGTAAAAGTACGAGGGCGGGAGTGGAACGCGTGTCTCCGGAGACACGTGTCGGTGT